AAATAATTGAAGATTTTTTCCCCGGTCTTATTTTTACCTTTCAGTTTCATTCACATTCGAGAGCTCCGCTTTTAGGCAGTGCCTAAATATATATTAGTCCTAGTATCTTAGAAGGTTTAGAAAGGATCTCTCTAAGCTGTGTGTCCCATTTTGAATAAAGATGCTAAGATATTTATGGGAGGATACTACCCCTAGACGTTTTCTTGCCATTATATAATAGAGACCTTTAGATCCGACGACGAGTAAGAAAACGAGTACGAGTACGAGTTTCTAACTTTTCAAGATTGGCACTGTCATTTCGCATTTGTGGTTGTGTACGTAGATTGAAAATTTCAATTGTAAAAAATCGAGAATCGACTACGATTTGGTGTTAACCACGTGTACAGGACCAATTTTAAAACTCGTACTCGAGATCTCGTACTCGTCGTCGGATCTAAAGGTCGCTAATTGTTATTGATAGCATGATCTGACCTAGATCTAGTTATAGTCATGTTACATTTACCTAAGTTAAGGTTCATCTACCAGGCATTTGCCCTTTGAGAGATAGAGTYAATGTCATTTTGAAAGATGACTTGGTCTTGAGGGCTCCGTATTTCACAGTACATGACAAAAGCCCTTTGGTGTGGAACGCTGTCAAAGGCCTTGGCAAAATCTAGTAATAGGAAATCAGTTCTAATGCGTTTGTAAAAGAAGAGAACCAGTCATCCAGAACACTTAATAGCTGGGTTAACGTAGAGAAACCCTTTCGAAAGCCATGTTGATAAGGTGTCAAGATGCTGTTTGCTGAGAAGTGTTTTGACATTGACAAACTTGGGTTTTGGATACCAAAGAACTCTGGACAAACAGGTATCCCTGGCTTACGGGTTTGAATACAGGACTGTCGTGTAACGTTCGTAATCAGATGACGTAAGGCGATCGGTAAACGTTCAATTATCGATCTGCTAACATCTTAGTGACGAAGCGCAGCGAAGTGCAGTGATACATTTGCATATTCAGGCCCATCACAATAACTCGTTTCTACACTTCGCGTATCCACGAGTTAAAAAGGGTATTTCATGACCGGTTTAAAAATAATTATAAAATAAAATAAATGGCATTTARCAGTGGCATTTCTACAGAGTAGCTATTCATCCACTGTAATTCTGTGAATCAGAATGAAAGTCTTCTTTTGTTTGCCGACAGGACCGCGAGATAGGAGGTGAACGAAACTGCTTTGTCTTGAACGCCGGAAAAACATACGATAGTTGATTTCAAAAAGCCGAATTCTTGAAGATTTATAGAGCTAAACAAGGGGCGAATATTCGTTGTAATATGTTCTCCCTTTTATATTTCATTGAGCATTAAAATAATTTAAGCTTATTTATAGAAATATTGAAAGTTTTGAGAGAGTCTTTGATTTGTCGATTCGTCGAAAGAAACTGCTTGTCATAGAAAGTAAAAATATGCGATTGTTTGCTTAAAAACCCCACAYACATTTTTTCACTGAATGGTTTTCATTATGGGGGACATTGTCTTCATCTCGAGGGAGAAAAACAATTGAAGATTTTTTCCCTTTCATCTTTCGCCTTTATCTAAGTTGGGCTCCCTATGTCTATTGGGAGAGCCGCATTTMGGCGGTGCCTAAATTTATATATTAAGGTGGCTGGACCCCCTCACGCTTGACCGCTACCGTCCACGTTTGGAACGCTGGTGCATAAACGTGTTTTATCCGACTGCAAATCTTTTTTGCACATAAGCCACATAAAGATTGAATTAATGTTTGATGCAGTTTTTAGTGAGATCGGACGTCATAACGTGATCATGATGAAATATTTGTTTTCGTTTAGAGAGCAATTTTAGCCTTGCAGAGTGTTCAACACTAAAATGCTTCATACCACATAATTATATACTAGATGCCTCCATTTGTAGGGATTTTTGAAAAAACCTATCTAGCTAATTATAAGATATTTGAGATTATTTAAATATAGTGCATAATCTACTTCAAAACTAAACAATGGATTTGATACAGCCGAAATTAATATTTCAGAGCTATATATTCACAAAAGTAATAATAATAACAATAATTTAAAATTTCTATAGCGTTAGTATCCGCTAGTACAATAACGCTTTACAGTTTTTTATTTTAATTTTYTTTAGTTTTAGTTTTTTATGAGTCATTGCTCATTTAGTTTTACTCTGTATCTAGTTTTAAAAGGAACATTTTGAAGGCAATCGACTTATGCGATTTTGTGAAAAGTATTCTTGGTTTGCAATCAATCCCAAGAGAGCACAATAACAAAAGGGATGTCCGCCATGTTGGAAGAT